AAAGCAAGGAGTTCCGTGCCGAAGCAAAACAAACATGGCTACGCAGGAGGACGGACGCGTAGCTGAGGCTATCAAGTCAGTTTTAGCAGAATCTCCAATTTCTTTTTTGAAAGATGAACAGCGAGAGGCGCTTTGTGCCTTTCTGGACGGTAACCTTGGTAGGCGGGCACACAGCGTCACTTCGCCCAATCAGCTTGAAGTATTCTGCTGCTTATCCCTCCTTTCCCCGAAAGGATTGTCCTGCAGAAGTCCCAGATTGATATTGTGGAGAACGCATTAGAGTTCTACACAATCATCAATCTGGCTCTTGCCAGGTTATATAAAAGTATAAATTGAATTGAATAGATTTTTTTCACAGTACCTCTTCAAGGATAAATTAATGAAATAATAGGTGTGTGTTTTGAGGCCAAAATTACACACGTTGTTTTAATATTGCGTGTAAAGTTTGCTTATTTGGCATACAGCCCTGTAAGGCTGCGCAGGCGTAGGCAGGTGATTAACCAGGGGAATATAAGTTATCTCTCTGAGTAAAACACACCCACTGTTTGCAGGTAGGATTGTAATTATACAGACTATACACAGGTGAGTTACTGTAGAGCTGCCCTGAGCCGGACGGACGCAAGTGTGGTAGAACCTATGACCAACACTGAAACTGTTTGCCCCATATAGAAATCATTTAGGGAAACACAAAGACTTGCGTGGTGCTGGTACTTTAGCATAGATTCCATTTCTCATTTGTAGTACAATAATTACACGGAATAAGCCGGGAAATAATGTAAAACTTAATATTGGATCGGGTTATTAAGAGCATTTTGAATCAATCAAATTAAAATGTTGTGTTTCTTCATCTTATTAGAAAACATTGCATACTGTTAGAGGGAGCCCTGTGTGTCACTATTTAATGTTTTATGCCGAGATCTGATTGGCTGAGTGAGGGTGAGGGTCCTCTTTTTTTGTCTGAAAAAGCTGAACTTATACTGTTATATAGGTCAAAAATACATTTACGTGAAAACTACTGATAGTTTTCACATACAAAACAGTGTCTCTTTTTTGTGGTTTGGATAAACCCCAGCTTTAAGTTGCACAAGAAATGTGGCAATGTGACTTTTGTTTTCTAAAAGAGTCATGCATTTGGCTTTTACCAGAGGATGCTGATTTGAGCTGCACCGACAAAAACCAAACATGGGAAATTGATGCTTTATATTCCAAAAGCAAGCTTGATTACCAGCCAATCAGGAACAAGCCGGTTAAGCCAGCGGCAGTGGGAGCTTAACGTGTGTCCGTGATCCCTGCAAATACTTAATATACACTTCATCAATTTCTCCGTAGGAATCCATTGCAAACTATAAGCATATAACATCTCACAGAGCAGTCTCTCTCCATCCGAGGCCTCATGTCTCCGGCAGGTATGGCATGTCTCGATTGCAGGCGGCTGAAGGCTGAGCTGCTCAAGTGCCCGCGGCCCCCGAAGGACGCTGTGGCTTCATTAGCACTTTACAGACTGAGAGAGCGGTGGTTGTGCTTTTCCAAATGTCACGGCCCACTTTAGAACATGCCCCACATCCTTGAGACAAATAACTGCAGCTCAAGTTCACCACAGGCTCAGCTGTACGGCCCGACGGAAAAGCCAGTCTAGAGAGTGAGAGAAGACGTGTGAAGGTTTCTGCCAGCTCGAAGTTTGCCCCAGAGCTGTTCTGGCGATTTATAAGTCACTCCTCGTTAGTGCATCTGATGTCTCATTGTTGATATTTTAAAACAACAAAATAAAAGAGACAAGTCTTTTCGGTCGGGCTTTCACAGACTGATGAGACCCACATTGACAATGGGTGGATGTTTTGGTTATTTTGAGGTCAAAATGGGAGTTGCACCCCCTCCCCGCCTGGGAGCTGCCTCAGTCCTCGTTCTACAGCTTGAGTCCTGGATCTATAGGTTTCTCGCTTCTCCCACTGGGGTTTTAGAGTTGCTTCTTGTCGATGCAGGATGGTTTAAGGACAGTGGTGATGATCCAAGACACTCAACATTCACCAACATTTATGGCTCCTTGTGTTTGAACGGTTTGATTCTCTGATCTGCGTTGGCGAATCGACACCTTTGTACAGTGCTCCAAGATAACTACTGTTGTGATTTAGGGCTGTACAAAAGTAAGTTGAATTGAAAGGAAGAAAACCTTTCCCCTGGTAATGTGGCAAACAAAACGCTTACCGCCATATTCTTTCGCTCCTGCATCAGCCCGGTCCCCCTGTGCTGGGTGTGCTGTGTGCCTGCCCCGGGACACCTCTCAGAGCTCGCCTCCCCTCTCCTCATCCATAACCCTGACAGGCAGACGCTGGGATGGATGACACTGCACTACAGGCCAGGATGCTGCTATCATTTAGATTCATGGTTCGTGGCTAGCGCTGTTTTTTAAGAAGACAAATACATTGTGCTTTTTGTCTGCGGTAAAATGATAACCTGTGAAACCCGCGGATCACTTGTGTGTTTATGTCTCCGCTACTGAGCACTTCATCCAGTGTTGATTTGTTCTCTGTTGTTTAACATAAGATGGTGAACAGCGGATTTTAGTTAGTGAAAGTGAATTTTAATCTGGGGTACCCAACTTTCAAATCACAGTTTTCACATGCATGTATCTTTGCCGGTGGTCCAGAGCTGATTACTTTATTATGGATAATTCAGTGTTTTTGATAAATCATTGTGAAATAGTTTTTCTCATTGTTTTTATCAGTTCAATACATTTAAATGAAAATTTAGATATTATTTTGGATTGACTCAATATTCTCATTTGATGGGGCCAACAAACGTGAAAAGGCATTAAAATAAGCCTTACAACAGCATATAACTCTATATTTACATTTGTTCCATATTGACGGCAGTGTCCTTTCATCCTGTTCCACACAGATCAGAGCAAAAGGCTGTAATGTTTTATAGAGCAGCTCTGACTCACAGGCTCGTATGGATGTATGAACAGCACATACAGTTCATGCAGTATTTTCTATTTAATAAATAACAAATTCAAAAGCTAGGAAATTGATTTGGGTATATGATCAATAAAAGGTAGACATAAGAAATCCTAGTAAATGTCTAATATGAACACATACACAATAAACCAGGGGTGTCAAATAGGTCCGCAAAAGGGGCCGGTGTGGCTGCAGGTGTTCATTCCAACCAAGCTGGAGCACACCAGACCCAGGTCTTCAGGCCCTTGGTCAAGAGCTATAGCTGGAACACTTGATAAATCAGCACCAGGGGCAGATGATCAGTAAAATGACAGAAACAACACTTTACGTGCATGTATTAATCACTATGCACACCCATAGTCTTCAAACTTGTGAATGAAGTCTCTTTCTGTCTCTTCTTTAAAATAAACCTCTTCCCATCAATAACCATAGAAGCATTACTAGTTGCTAACTAGTGTGTTAGCATTAGCCTATACCCGGCATGTTTATTGGTGCTGCCAAAAGTAAACTTCAAACACTCAAAGTAAACAGGATGGTGCATTTCTCAAAAGTGTGTCTATGAATGACCGGCTTTTCTTTTTTTAGACATTACAGCCACAAAGTTTTATCCCTGATGGCAGTGTAAATATCATAACTTTTCCAATGCATTTAGACTTTTAATTTTATTCCACCACAAGCTATTAATTTGAGCAACGCATTAATGAATGTTTATGCAGCAGCGGACGACTCCCAAACTCTCTCTCTCGCCCTGAATGTGAATGTCCGGTCTATAATTACGTATTGTGCCAGCAGTCAACTCTCTGGGATGACAGCGTCGGGCTCTTTGTGTCACTCCCCGACACGACAAGCTGCTTTTAGCATAAAAAATAATAGCCACATGGGCATTTGGTTTAAAAGATAATATTCACGTGTCAAATTGTGTCTTTTTTATTGTCCGCAATGACAGCAGCCAAAGTCCCAGAACAAAGAGACTATTGGGAATGTGTGTACTCGTCAGTAGAGATGAAATGTTATTATTGTTGTGGTAAAAGAGAGAGGAATTCCACAATAATTAGCCTAGCGTTTAGCACAGGGGTGTCGAAGTCATTTAGAGATATGACATTGCCTTCTTAAGCCTAGCGTACATCGACAGAGAAACTGGAGACAACTAGTTGCAAGGCGGCTTTTGGCAACTGAGAGGAGATGGTGGGAGATGATCAGTTGCCGAAATCGGTCGATGTGCGCGCTCTTACAACTGGAGATAAACAGTCGGTCTCCAGTTTCAGTCAGTTGCCCGTGTTCTACTTTTCGGCAACTAGTTGTCCTCAGTTTCGGAGACATGACCCGATGTGCGCGCTCCATGCGCCGCTCCGACAACGTGTGTGTATTGCATGTATTGCGAGCCCGCAACAGTTTATGTCAGAAAACACACTGTAGTTGAGGCCAGTTGCTGTCGATGTACGCGCTGTTATTCCCGAGACTGGTCTGCTACTAGGAGTTGCCCGTTTTCGCCAGATAGTCGATGTGTGCGGGGCAGCAACTCATATGCAACGGATATAATCAGTTGCCAGTCCGATGTACGCTAGGCTTTAGAGGAAGGTCCACATTTTAGTTTTGACAGTTTCCCAAGTTAAATTAAATTATTTGCAAACTCTTGGTTGTGGTTGCAGCTGATAATTTCCAAATGTGTAAACTAAACTAAACAGATTCTTCTCCCTCTGGTGGAAGAAAAGGGATAGGGCAGGCCGATTGCATCACCCTTCATACTGGTTTAATCAATAACGTTTTTTTTATTTATTTTTCTATCCGGGAGCTCCTTCAGAATAGGTGTAATTTCAATGTTATGTTTTATTTTTGGGCTAAAGGTGGCTGCAGAACATACAACTCAACAATAATAATTCCATTTGGAGCTCAATGCTTGGAGTCCATGAACTCAAATGTGTTTTTCTTGAAGGAAATTTGCTTTAAGGCTTTGTTCTTTGAGTCTTTCTATGTTGAATTCTTAATGATTCTTCTCCTTATTTATACAAAAGGCTTTTAGAGGATGTGCGTGTGTGTGCATGTCCAATGTGCTCACAGGCTCCTCCTCTCTCCCCAGGTGCCGGGCCTCCTGCTGACCAGACCGTGGTCATAGAAGAGTTCCGGTACTTATCCCAGAAGCTGTTTGTGTCGGTGTCGGTGTTCGCCGGCCTCGGGATCCTGCTGGGCATCGTGTGTCTAACCTTCAACATCTACAACAGCAATGTCAGGTACTACTCTGCACCTCTCTTACCGATAATTTATACTGGTTTTCCTTCAATATAAGTAAAGTATAAATATGACATACAGCACACTGGATATAATTAGCATTGGACTAAGAATATTTAAGTTTTTTGTGGTTGGACATAAGCTGCAGGTGTGATATAGGCTTGTTAGTTGCACAACTTAAATGAGTGCTATCATTTGACATGTCCAAAACAAGGTACTCAAAGGTACTCAAATGAAATGTGATTTAAAAAAATTAAAATAAATCATATATTGTGTTATTGTGAAGGTTTATCCAGGATTACGCTATTACTGTTATGACACCACTTGGGCAGAAAAGTGACAGAAATCTCATTTGAAATTTGTACAAAACACTAAATCCTGTTGTAGAAGCCTGAGCTGCGCAGTATTTCATAATAGCCTTCAGGAAGACGATAATGTCTGCAGTTACTGGATCTGCTACCGAATGCAGCACAGGCTCTTAATAATGGTAGATAGAAAGATCTTTATAATGACGGCTCGCTCAGAGGAGGACTTAGAGACTGAAATAAACCGTAACAGATGTATTTGGAAATCCCTTTAGCACACATGGGAACAATGCAAGAACACCTCAAGAACTGAACTGACGTCAATATTTCAACATCGATTCAATTGAATATTGAATTTACATTTTAAAGATTTCTGTAGCTTGAGTCCTGGATCTATTGCCGGTCTTTCCGTGGGAACAGATCCCAATCTCAATGTGGGCCTCCCCAAGGCTTTTCACTGGGTTTTAGAGTTGTTCCTTGCAGATGTCGAGGGTCTAACATAGGGACAGTGGTGATGGTCCAGGACACTCAACATTTAACAGCATTTAGCAACATTGGTCATCTGCCCAATGTTCTATGGACCAATTGTTCTATGTGTGTTGGCAAATTCATTTTTTGTATAAAGTCCTCCGAGTTAACTACTGTTATGATTTAGGGCTACACAAGAATACATTTAATTGAATTTAATCTATGATAAGTTCACAAGAAAATCAAAGTAACGGTTGAATAACTGTGGATTCATACGTTTAAAGCAGCAAGAAATAAATAGTAGGTATAGTAAGAAATGTGTTTGGGTCCAATACATTCTAAATTATAGTTCAGAGCATTTGTCTTGTGCTTATCAATGTATCAGGACATGTTTTTTTTCAAACAAGACATTATTCGGTCGATTAAAACACAACTGTAAATGATCATAAAAGCAAATACAACTGTACACTCATTCTCGCACTGTGAGGCGAGATTAGTGGGATCTGTAACTTCTAGAGAATCTTCCTCGCCCCACTGTAATTGTCAAATGAATTGAAAGTGTGTATTTGCGGGCGGAGCTGTGTTTTGGATCTGCTCTGAGCGCTAAAGAGGATTTTCTGTTTCCGCTGGCAGACTGCTCGCTGGCGTGCTCCTGCAGGAGACAGCCACACAGCGCTCTTAAGCCTTGGATCCACTGCTCGGAGCCAGCGGGACATTTTGATACGAGGGAGTGAGGTGTAATTCAAAAGCAAGTCTATGCGAGAGACAGACAGACAGCTAATAGTGCAGCCGGGAGACGTTTGACTGACAGAGGGGTCCATCTGCGCACCACTGAGGCCTGTGTGGGAGATGAGATCACCTTCTCAGCCCTTATCCATGCTGCTGAGAGCCGGTGTGAGACAGCAATTTCATTTTGTCCCTTAAAGCTGTAGCACCTTACTTTGAAACCACAAAAAATGAAAATAACTGTGGCAAAATCCATGTAATTAGTTCCTCGCTCTCCAGAATAGGTTGGTTCTACTCAGTCAATCAGCTCTCGCTATCTATGAGATAAGTTGTTGTGGCACCACCTGCAAGTAAAAGGCAGGGCAGGTCCTGGTTAGTACTGTGATGGGAGACCTCTGGGATCACCAGGTGCCACAGCGGAGCGGCTGCTGCTGCAAAAAAAATTATTGATAAAACTAAAAATAGTAGGTACTTCGGCTGTACAAGCTGTTGCTTGTAATACAGTTTTCATTTATACTTAGTACTTTTGAAAGCTTAATATTCATCTCAAATGATGTAACAAAGAAGACAAGTCCTGCAAGAGGAATGTGCGTTCTACCTCTTTACTCTTTGTCAGTGGAAATGTGTACACATCAAGATAGCACATGGTCGTCCAGTTAGGGATCAGCTGAGTTTTTTTAAAGCCCCCTTGAAATATTTCAAATCATCCATGTATCAAATTCATGAAATAAAAGTCAAAACAGGGTGTGTTGAGATTGCAGTGGTGGAGAGACCAACTTGATTTTACAATATTCATTGAAAAAACATCATGGTCTGGATCTCTTCCCTGAGCTTCCTGTTTCTGAACTGTGCTTGGTTGCATTCAATTATATTGGACAGCTAAACATCCAATTATGTAAAAACAGTCTGAAGAAAAGCTGTAAAATGCAGCTCCAGAGGACACTGAGGGGCAGGAGCAGGACTGAGGACTATGGGAAGACCTCTGAACTTATCACTGAGGTGCAAACAAGGCATTCACATTTTCTTGTGTATAACTGTCATGTTGTATATGATGTAGTTGGAGTACACAGGCGGAGCATGAGAAGCACACTGTAGAAAAACATGCAAAAAGTTAACTTGGTTTTAGCAAAGTACCACTGTACTGACTACTATTCTTTATCAGTTTATTTTTTTTACATTTCTACCAATATGGCAAAGAAAACAATTCATTTATATCCATTTATTTTATTTTATTTTCACAAAGGCTTCATATTAGCCTTATTCTCTGCTGACGCACTGGGCAGACGCTCATATCCTCGACCGGAGTTTTCTAAATTGGCTTTGTTAGATCCACTTGGAAACGCGACACACATTTCATTACCGTCTGCTTTGTGCATGCTCCCTGTCCCAATCCACAACACTCCATGTGCGTGCATGTCTGTGTGTGTGTTTGTGTTTGCATGCGGGTCTATGTATGCGCTAATTTGTTTGGCTTGGAATATGCGAGTTCAGTCTACAGAAACCTCCCATCAGTCATCTTTTAAGGTGTACTGACAGGCACAGCAGCATTGTTGCTTGTTTGAGGCCCGGTTTACACGGAGACGCAGCCTAGTAATTTGCAAAAAGTAAGGCAAGTCTTGACTCCGTCTGCAAGTGAAAACAATGTTGTTCCAACACTTGACCAGTAGTGGGCAGTAAATCTTTATAAAGTAAACAAAAGGCCAACCCGGCTTTACCAACTTTTTTTTTTACTGTTGCAGCGTCTCTGTGTAAACGTCTCCTGAGTCTGAGGATCGAGGATTAACGCAATCTTAAAAATAACGTTAACATGGCCGACAACTGAAAGCTGTGAGACTGTGTGGTTCAGCAACATCAAAGGAGAGCTCCTTACAAGGTTCTCCGCTCTGAAAGAGGAGAGTGAGCTGCCTGTTCTGGGGGTTCTTTATGAATCCAGACTCTTAGAATAATCAATGAATCTTCTGCCCCCTGGAAAAGCCATGTTCCAGCTTCTTTCCTGACAGAAGATATTGTTGGCTGAAATGCAGGACATCTGGATATGCTAACAACTTCTACCCACAAGCTGTTATCAATTTTAAGAAAAGACATTCATGATCTTGCACTCGTTATCAAAGAGATTTTGGTTGAACGATTTCACAGTAACATTTGTTTCTTGTACTTTTTTGCCTGTTCTTTTTTATGTATTTGTCTTGGGACCACTGGGGCACTTATATATTTCACTGTGATTTCACTTCAAATGGCGAATAAAATGAATCTGAACCTGAAAGTTCCTCCTGCATGATGTGTCCCCTTTAAAAGACCTTGAGGTGAGACTCGCACACTGAAGACCATTGTTAAAACTGATTCTCGTCAAAAGGTCAAAGCGCTCGAAACAAGCTTTGTTATTGCCTTCTCCAGTCTTCAATCCTTGCTCTTATCCACTCTTCTCTTCACCCTCAAATCAAAGCAGCTTGTGTTCTTATAAACAGAGTTTACATATGAAAACGCAATATCCACTCAACCCGGATAGTGCATTATACATAGTTTTGGAGTTGGCACAATTGATATGAAGGTATTGAAGTGTCGGAGTGAAGAGTGTGAGTAGTTGGCCTTGGGAGAGTGGATGTTTTGTAGATTTTTATGCTGCTAACTGAAGTGCGGCGGTGTATCCTGTTTCCCCCGGTGGCCTGGCCTACAAACTGCCTCAAGCATCGGCACGACTTCTGAGTGCTGATACCACGGTCCCCTTAAATTAAAAACGAGAAAAGGATGTAATCTCGGTGAGGGATTCTCAAACAGGAGTGCTGGGATCACCCGGGGTAAACAAACACTTAAAATCTGTGGACTCAGACTCAGGTTATCTTGAGGCCAAGCAAGATCCATTCTGGGTGAGGCTGGCCGCTTTCATTTTCATTCATTCACTCAGTCCCCGTAGGAAACTTAGCCCCCTGAGTTGCAGATGAAATACAAGTTAAAACACAACTTAAAATGTGTGTACAAAAAAAATTAAAAAATAGAATAAGTAAAAGTTGCCTCCACCGTTCTATTCCCTCTTTCTCCAGTAGCTCAGTAAGAAGAGCTCACAGTTTGGTTTACTTACCCGTGCATGATAAAAGCATTTTCTTTGGCTTCCTTATCTGGACCAGCGGGAATGCATTGTGTTGTAGGTGTCATAGAGTGTTATGTATACCAGTTCGCTCAGTTTTGTTAGTATCGCTAATACTGTTCTCAGACAAAATGGTAGCGCTCTTTTTGCTCTTTTTGCTCGCTCTTTAAAACGCCGTGTCACCTGTGGTGCACTGTAAACCCTAACTTCAATCGTACTTCAGATATCAAAGTTATTCTAAATAGATTTTTCCCAGTAAGTGGATATTACTCATTTATTGTTAGTTTATTTAAAGCTTGGCGATATCACTCAGGGTTTTCTTTGAATTGAACTGTCTCTGTTGAAGTAAGCCTCACTTTTGACATTTTGACGTGTAGAGTGTTAAATAAGACCGGTGTGAAATGGGTCAAGGCAGCATGGT